CCCACAACCCGAGAGGCACAGGCGAAACAGTAGGCCGCTGGGGTGTCAGGGATCGGGGCTGTCCTGCTGGCACTGGCGGCCCCCGCAGCCGCACACCCTGCACCATCCTCACCCCACGCTGTCCTGGAGCAGCGTTGGTTGCCGGCCACACGTGCATACTAGCACGTGGCCACAGTGTGTCACAGCATGGTGGGACACAGCTCGAAGTCATCAGCAGAGGGCAGAGAAGCACATGCGAGTCTAGGAGCATCGAGCGGCTGTGGAAGGGAACAAATTGGAACTCTGGGAAGGTTGTTACGTTTTGTGTGGGGACGGGGAACCTTGCAGAGCACCATGCTGTGTCCATTTCTGTTTTTAAGGAAACAGCAACGTGCATGTGTTCTAGGCAGTGGGTCCCCAAGTGGTCCCATGCTTGAGCCAGAGGTGGCGTGTGTAGATGCCCTCTCCCAGGCCCACTGTGTCCTGGGACCACAGGACACGGCTCACAGACAGACACCTCTGCTTATGTACGGACTTATCTACTCTCCATTCACATACATGATTTCATATGAACCCATAACTGTGATACTTCATGTGGCGTTTTAAGTACTCCCACGCCCCCAACACACACAGCGGGAACTCCACCCAGGTGTGTGGTCAGTCTGGCGACTTCTGGGGTGAAGCACTCAAGGCCATGCTCTGTCTGTCCATCTCCCGTTGTTGGGCAGTGCTGTCGTCTGAGTTTCTGCCTCGATGGACATGAATATTCCTTCAGTGCGCAGCAGTTGGATGTCAGCCAGTCGTTCCCAGGCCAGAATATATTACTTTTCCCAGATTGCTTTATCAAAACCCATCCTGCCAGCCCTGCAGCCACCCTCTCATCTCAGCCAGTGTAACGTAGGTGTCGTGGATGAAAAGTCAGGCTCATTGACACTTTTTAATCTGCATTTCAATGGCTAGGGAATTGGAACGCCTTCCCTCTGCTTGTCTGGCCAGATTGGGTCTTTGGAAATTGTTTGTTTATACCCCTACCCAATTGTTTAATGGGGTCAGACTTCCCTTGTGTTAGTGTGATGCTTCTACAAGCTGTGGATGTGGGCTTTCTAGTTCTCCCGTTGTCATCATCATGGGTGGTGCTATCTTTACCAGCGCGCTCACTAGGCCTCGGTTCTCTCCACATGGTCCTGACCCCCCCTCTGTGAGCAAGAGAAATAGAACTGGTTTGGGGGTGTCCTGTCCAAGGGGACACAGGACATCACGGTTTTCAGTACAACAGGCAACAGTACTCGTCCAGTGTGGGTCTTTGGGGTTGTTGTTTTTGTTTTTTGGAGATGAGGTCTTGGCACAATCAGAGCTCACTTCAGCCTGGAACTCCTGGGCCCCAGTGATCATCTTGCCTCGGCCTCCCAAATGGCTGGGACTACAAGTATGCACCACAATGCCCAGCTGCTTTTAAAAATTTTTTGTAGAGACAAGATCTAACTGTTTCCCAGGCTAGTCTTGAATCCCTAGGCTCAAACGATCCTCTTGCCTCAGCCACGCAATCAGCTGGGTCTATAGGCGAATGCCACCATGCCTAGCTAATTTTTTAAATGTTTTGTAGAGATAAGGTCTCACTGTGTTTCCCAGGTGGGTCTAGAATTGAATTCCTGAACTCAAACAATCCTCCCACCTTTCCTCCCAAAGTGCTGGGATTACAGGTGTGAGCCACTGCACTTGGCCTCAGTGGATATTCTGAGAGTGAAAATTTCCTTTAAAAATAACATGAGGTCGGACTGCTGGCTCAGCCTGTCATCCAGCACTTTGGGAGGCCGAGGCGAGTGGATTGCCTGAGCCCGTGGATTCCAGACCAGCCCAGGCGAGACCTCATCTCTACAATAAATAAAAAAAGTTAGCCAGGCATGGTAGTGTACACCTGTAGTTTCCACTACTTGGAAGGCTGACATGGAAGGATCCCCAGAGCCCAGCAGGTCGATTGTGGGGTGGCCGTGAGTGTACTCCAGCCTAGGCGACATAGTGAGACGCCAACACATAAATACACACATACATACATTCATACATACATACATACATAAAATAACATGAGATTACTAAGCATTGACTGCGTATATAACATGTCTTTTACCTTGCAGGATCGTATCATTGATGCTGGCCCCAAAGGAAACTATTCTCGATTCATGAATCACAGCTGCCAGCCTAACTGTGAGACCCTCAAGTGGACAGTGAATGGGGACACTCGTGTGGGCCTGTTTGCTGTGTGTGACATTCCCGCAGGTACAGCGCTCTGGGAGGCTCTGCGTGGGGGCTCCTGGCTGTTGCCCAGAGCGTATGGGGCCAGGTTGGGAAGGCTCTGGGGCGGCACTTGGGGACGCGAAGGTTTGGTTTGGCTTTGAATCTCCACTTTACGAAGCAAAAGCGAGAAGCCACGGGTCATGCCTGTTGTAGACATGAAAGTAAGGCGTGTTTTGCAGACCTAATGTGAGCTCCTTGGCTCCATGAGAGAAAGGAGTTTCTAGTGTGGTGTTGTCTCCTCTCCTCCCAGGGACAGAACTGACCTTTAATTACAACCTCGATTGTTTGGGCAATGAAAAAACAGTCTGTCGGTGTGGAGCGCCTAACTGCAGCGGATTCCTTGGGGATAGACCAAAGGTACGGTTACGGCCGCTCCTTTCTCAGAGCTCCGGAGCGGTGCTTCAGAAGCCTAGGAGCATGCCTTCTCGCACATGGTGACTTCCTCCAAGCTGGCTTGCTGCTGTGACAGGCAGGAGTGAGGTCCCTGTGGTGGTGGGAAGTCCAGCTCCCGGGCAGGCGCGGCCTCTCTCGACAGAGGTCGGTTGTTAAGACTCGTCACTGAGTGTGTGTCCTATGGCGGCCAGAACAAAGTACCATGGACTGGGTTGCTTAAAACACAAAAATTGAGCCCCTCTCAGCCCTGGAGGCCCAAGATGTGAAATCAAGGTGTGGACAGGGCCATGTTCCCCCGGCAGGCTCTTGGGAGAATCTCTCCAGGCCACTCCGCAGCTCCTGTTGGTGTCCGGCTATCCTCAGCGTGCTGTGGCTTCTGGAAGCCTCACCCCGACATCTGCCTTCCTCCTTACACGGTGTTCTCCCTTTGTGTGGCCCAAGTTTCCCCTCTTATACGGACACGGTCATGCCAGATGAGGGCCATCATGCTCCTGTCTGACCCCATCTTAACTTATTACGTCTGCAAGGACCCTGTTGCCGAATACAGTCATATTCCACTGTCTTGGGAAGGTCATGGACTTGGGGGGACATTCCCTTTCCTGTAGTGAGTTGGACCCGGGTCTGATAGCCACGGCCCTGTGTTGGTGTCTGTCCTCGGCTGTGCTGGTGATGCTCTTCGGTTTCTGCCATCCTCCTATTCCCACGTTCTTGCAGAGATTCCTAATGAAGAGCCCAGGCAGCGCGTGGGAGCCGTTTGCCCTGCGGCAGAGTCCATTGCCCCGTGGGTCCCATCCGCGGGTTGGGAGGTGTGTGTCTGCCTGCTGCTCAGCTGCGCTCTTAGAAGCTGTTCACAGGCTGGTGGTTGTTTCGGTCTCTGTTCGGCCTTTTCAGGTTCAGTCCAGTGAGTCTGCGCCTGTCTGGGAGCCCCATGTGGGCGTGCCCCCCCTCGAGCATGGGGAGGACACCCCCTTCCCTCCACGTTAAAACATCTGCAGAGCTTTCTGAAACGTCCGCAACTCCACCTGGCTCTCTTGGCTTTTGTGTATGCTTCAGTCCATGTAGTTCTTTTACGTGCATTGTGCTGAATCCTTGATTCCAGACCTCAACGTCCCTTTCTTCGGAGGAAAAGGGCAAAAAGGCCAAGAAGAAAACCAGGCGGCGCAGAGCCAAAGGGGAAGGGAAGAGGCAGTCGGAGGACGAGTGCTTCCGCTGCGGCGACGGCGGGCAGCTGGTGCTGTGTGACCGCAAGTTCTGCACCAAGGCCTACCACCTGTCCTGCCTGGGCCTGGGCAAGCGGCCCTTCGGTAGGTAGACAGGCACAGCAGTCCCGGGCCGTGTCCGTGAGAGGGCTCCCGGTGGACAGCTCTCACTGCTGTTCCTGCGGCTGGGCCTCATCCGGTCACAAATGCATCAGTCCCTCGTGAAGTGACAGTCCCCGGTCCAGGGCAGCCAGCCGTTCTCTGTTCCAAACCGTTCCAGGCTACGCGTTGAACAGATATCGTGCGTGGTGTGCACTGTTCACCGCCTGCCGGAGAGTTGGCGTGCATGCCCACGTGGGAGCCCACAGGGGGCCAAGCAGGGTGAGGGAAGCAGGTGGCCCTGGGTCCGCAGCTCCAGCCAGGAGAGGGTCTTCTGAGCAGCCTCTGCATCCTCGTTCCCCCAGGAGGCCCAGGAGGCCCCGGCCGGCGGCAGCACGCTGGAAAAGGAGGGTAGAGCCCTCACCCAGGAAGCAGGGGTCATGCTGTCCCCAGAGAGGACCCTGGGGGCAGAAGGAGGAGCCACTGGCTGACGATGAGCTGTATATCTGGTTCCCTGAAGCAAAAGGGAGTTGCTTCTTCCACCCCGTGTTTCAGAGATCACAGCACCAGCGTGAAACAGTAGCCCTACATACCTACCACATGTCGTTTCGTGACCAGGACGTGTGCTGAGTAGTGTGCTGTCAGGTGACTCTGGCACTGAGTGACCGTCAAGAGTACACCTCCACAGGCCTGGCTGTGGGGCCCCTGCCATGGTACTCCCATGGGACCGCCGGCGGGTATGCATTTTGTCGTTGGCAAAATGTCACTAGGGGTAGGACTGTAATCCCAAGAGACAAGTGAAAAGACCTTCACCCAAAGACAAGAAGCAAAAATACATATTTTGTATGACGAAAGTTGACAAACCAAGGTCAAAAGGCAGATGACACAGAAAAATATTTGTGGTGGATGTGAGAGTTCTTCCTCCCCTAAAAGCCTTTTACAGATTCATTCCAGAAAGGTCCATCCCCAAGTAGAAAATCGGTTCCTCAGCAGCAGGCAGGGCACAGAGGGAAAGCCAGAGCCGGACATGCACAGGGTAGGCCTCCCACGGGCAGGACTCGGAGCAGAGCGGACCCCGAGCCTGTCATTCACGTGGGAGGGCACTCCTGCACCCAGTCCAGCGTCTCTTTGATTGCTACGCATAAAGAGTGGCTGACAGTTGGCATGCGGAGGCCTGGCGGGCACTGCGGGGTGGGCAGGCACCGCTGGGGCCCGCGTTTCTGCTGGGGCAGCGGTGGGGATGGCCTGTCACACGTCCCGCTCGCTGCGCCACCAGCACTCTTGTAACTTGCATTCGTTGGACGCGATGGTTTTAAGAGCAGCTTCAACCCTGGCGGTGTGGAAGTTGTGATTCCGTCGTGTGTTAACTGCTCATGTCCGGTGTTCTGTTGCAGGGAAGTGGGAGTGTCCTTGGCATCACTGTGACGTGTGTGGCAAACCTTCCACTTCGTTTTGTCACCTGTGCCCCAACTCGTTCTGTAAGGAGCATCAGGACGGGACAGCCTTCCGCTGCACCCAGGACGGGCAGTCCTACTGCTGTGAGCATGACTTGGGGCCAGCGTCGGTCAGAAGTGCCAAGACTGAGACGCCCTTCCCCGAGCCCGGGAAGGCAAAGGGGAAGAGGCGGAAGAGGCGGTGCTGGCGGAGAGTCACGGAAGGCAAATAGCGCCAGGGGGCAGCTTGGCCAGATCCAAGGGCGGCACAGGGCGGCCAGCCCTGCCTGGGGGAGAGGGCGCGCGAGGACAGGCCGGGGGCCCCAGCTCCGGCCGCCAGGACAGACGGACAGGCCTCCTCGGGAGGGAGCGCCTCCCACCACTGAGCCATCCTTGGCAGCACCGCTGCCCTGCACTGACCACGCCCGAGCCCGGCTCGGCGTCCAGGACACACAGGCCTCACGCCACAGCATTACCGCGAAACTTGAACGCCTCACAAGGTCCAGGCTCCCTCCCGCGCTGTCTTAGGTTGAAGTTATGACTGGCAGTGGGTTGGCGTGTGGAACGTTTGTATCTCGTCGGAAGTGTAGAGAGTAGCGTTTGATCTAAGGGGTCAGCACCGTTCCCTGAGCGTCCCGTTCCTCCGCTCCTGCTCACAGCACTGCCGTCACTCAGGAGAGACCAGGGAGGGGCCGGTGCACGCACCCGGACCCTGGATTCCTGGAAACCATCATTTTATCATTATTTTGCTCTTTAAACAAGCTGTTATGATTTTTCTTTTTGTTTTTTTTAAACTAATGTGAATTTTTCCTCAGAATGCTCTTTTCCATCCTAATGAAGAGCTGGCCCTGCCAGTGTTGACAGTGACAGTGCTGTCTGGTTCCCTCCCGTGTTTATCTCCACGGAATCGAACTGAATGCCAACACGTGCACTCAGCGCACAGGTCACATGGTGCAGCCGTCGGCGGCCAGGCAGGGCCTCTGCTCCCTGGGCCTGTCTTCCCAGCTCACTAGGTTCTGCTCGACATGTGGGGAAATGTTGTATAGTTTTTTCACTGGGCTTTTCTTGACCAGTTTCTGGCTTTTATTCTCAATAGATTTCTGCTAAACCTATTTCACAATCACCACCGACTGAAATGTCTATTTACTGATGCGAGCCTGAGTTCTGTGACCAAAACACGATCTCGGTAGGGGCACACCGGCACGGTCTGTTTAAGCACTGGGAGTGCCCCTTCAGGGGATCCCGGAGGGCACTTCGGGCAATGGGCCCAGGGACATAGCACACAGGCTGAGGAGAGACCCAGCGTTCAGAGCTCTTGCCATCCCACGCGCCTTCCGTCTCAGCACTCCGTGGGCCTCTGCGTGGAGAACATGGATGTGCCAACTGCAGCTCTGTGCCATGACACCAGCTGAGACACACGCGTCCCAGCGTGAGCCTGCCCGCCACGTCCTGCACCCGTGTGCACAGGCACTGGTTTAGGCCAGGTCTGGCACCCAATTCCCTGTGAGACATCAAGAATCTTTTGTTCCAAAAGGTCCAGCCTTACAGAGTGAGAAATATCCAAGTACTGTGTTCCTCGGATGCCTTGACTCTTCTTTTCTGGGGGATCCTCTTGACCCTGGGAAGTGGGGCGCAGGCTGAGAAAGGGGAGGCCCTGTGTGCCCCGTCCCACCGGGTGCCGCATGCTCTGAGGGGCTGCGTGGGGGTGGGGTGGGGTGGGAGAGAAAGAACATGCAGCAGCAGGTGCTTTTTTGCTGGCTTTTAAAAAACATCACCCAAGGAGAACATCCTTTTGGAGAAAGTTTACAGAACTCTTCTTGAAAAACTGCTACTGAGGTCTCCCCGTCAATTCTTTCGTACCTTTTTTCTCCCTGTCAAATGGCAGAGTCCTTGGGCCTAAGACTGACTGCTCCATGTTGTGAGACCCGCAAGCTTGGGCTTCAGATGAGAAGTCCTGCAGGTCCCTTGTCTCCCCGAACACCGACCGGAGGAAGTTTCACTGGCTGGTGGCCGGCCCCTCTACCGTCGGGTCCCTAACAAAGTGTCCGACAAAGGCCCCAAAGGAAAGGGCTCTGCAGTCGGCGACTTTCACATACAGGCTGAGCCCTACTCTATGGAACGGGCATGGGACGTGCTCGTAAGCTGAGAGCCCTATCTCCTCTCCAGGTGTCTTCAGATCAGTTCAGAGATTTACTCTCCTAATGCTACACTTGGAAGGCCGTGTCCACTCATGCACCTGGCCCTGGCACTTGGAGTCCAAGGCCTTGGGGCCCCACTGACCGGCGGCGGGCTGAAGCTGTCACTTGCCTGTAGGATCCTTTCCTACCAGCTAAGGGACTTCTGCGTAATTCAAAACATCAGGTGGGTTTTGCAGTGCACTTTGGGAAGCAGATTAACTTATTTTTGTCTTTGATGGTAGGAAAATTTTAAGAGTTTTGAGTCACTTTGATATTACTTCCAGACTATGATCCTTCTGAAGGAAATACTGCAAAAATCTTAAATATGGTTCCTCTCCCTTGCCAAAAACTGTTAAACTAATGAGCAGATAACACTAACTTTGAATACCCTTAGAATACCAGTAATAAATCAGAGGAAAACAATGCTTTGGGGCAGCGGCCTGGCCCGGATGGGCTTACCGCCACCGGGGCGCAGCGGGCACACAGTCGTGACCACGGCTGGTGTGGGGACCTACCCACCTTTGCTCTCAGACCCGGGAGAGATCTGTTCTTGGACTCGGTGACTTTCTGAACATTCGCTTCGGTCCTTTGTCATGAATGTGAAGCAAAACAAACAACAACTGCCCAAACACCTCAGGACCCCTTGTTGTCAGAAACCTTCCTGATCTACACCTAAACCTGCACCTGCGTGAACATGTGGCATCACAGGGGTGTGTCCCGCCGGGCAGTTGTAACATGTGGTCACCTGCGGGGAAACTCATCTGACACCTGAAGTGCTGAGAACCCAGCTGTCTATCCTCAGAGGATAGCCCTCTCTGCCCCAGTGATGCCCGTCCAGGGCCCCTGGGACCCGTGTACTCAGGTTTGTGCTTCTGACGCCTTCCAAGTGTTTACTGGGCACCTCCACTGGTATGAGTGCAGTACCCACCTTCCAGAACTACCTTATTCTTGAGAATTAAGCCTGGTCTAACTAAAGTTATACAAATGACTGTCATTTGCCAAACCTCTGGATCCTATGCGTGCAGTTGTTGACAGTTAAGTCACTAGAGGAAACGCTGTGCCTGTTGGGTGTCATGGTGTCACCGTACCCTGCTGAGATGTGAAATGCCCTGTCAGAAATTACATACACATTTAAATGTGCCTAATGGTGTCAGAACATCATACAAACAAGGTCAGATTCCTTTTAGGAATACTGGGTGCTATTGCCAGGGTTGATAGACTTAAAAACTTGAAATTCACTTTTCGGGGGAGTATGCTGAAATCTAGATTTGAGACTTGTCAGGTGGGGGGAAGTAGCATTTAAAGTGGAAAACTGTGTTTGGAAAATTGAGTATGAGTATTTTTGTATTAAAACATTTTAAAGGCTTTTTTCTTAACTTATTTTACGGGACTGCGTTCTGAATTTTTCTGTTTTTCTAGTGACTTAATTGTTAAAGCACCTGCCTGGCCCAGTGCTGGCCTCTCACAGGGGAGGGGCTCCCTGTCCTCAGTCTGTGGTATTGGCCTCCATCTGTGGGGAGGGGCTAGTGCAGTGCACCCTGTGAAGCATGAGGAACACTGGGCTCCGAGGGGGAATGGATGCTGGAAAAATGTCTTTGATCATTAGGAAATAAAAAGGCAACATGGTCGAGAAAAGAGGATCCACTGATGAACCGGCCGAGTGGCCCTCAGCCATGAGTGGGGTACTCCTGGGGCTGATCCCATGCTGCGGGCCTGAGGTACTTGGAAATTTCCCTGCCCCTGCCTCCCATCCTGACAGCAGCCTGGGAGCCTAGGAGGAGCTGGGCTCCTGGAGCAGGGAAGATGAGCTGGCCCAAAACACAGCTCAGGGGGCTTTCTGTAGAAAAGCTAACCTTTAATCATCCAGACAGTTTTACAGTGAAAATAGGTACCAAAGACTGTCTCAAGTGTCCACGCTGTACAAAAGACAAATACAAAAGTCCAGGCAGGCGCTGGCAGTGGACGAGGCCTGTGTCCCCCGTCCTGTCCCCTGCATGGCTGGTGCCACCTTTGGTCCCCTCAGCCTCGGGCCTGGCAGGGTGTTGCACTAGCAAGGAAGAGTC